TTGAAGCCATGATAAAGCCTAGAAAAGTACAGGTCAATTTAGGTAATATAGCTAGTGAATTAGTCCTTCTGTCCTCTTCCCTTGGAAAGCCTCAAGGATTCTACCAGAAACATACAATCAATCTATCTAGAGGAAATTTCAGGTATGAATATTATGTTGTAATGTGAAGGTCAGAGATTTGAAAGTCTCAAGTTACATCATGTCCTGTTTCATAAGGGGAACAGATATAAAAATAATCTGAGAAGCTGTGAGTTCAAGGTTTTCAGAGATTATTATTATAAAGTGGGAAGTCTCTCCTTGTAAAATAAATTCACAGTTGCACTCTCAGAAGGAAACAATAATGTGGACTGATTCTGGAAAAAAGGTATGCAAATAAATGGATTCTAAAAACTTTTAAATCATTAAATGTAATACAGCATACTAACACAAAGACAAAAACCATATGATCATCTCAATAGATAAAGAAAAACCCTTCAATAAAATTCAATATCCGTTCATGATAAAAGCTCTGATGAAACTAGTAGTCAAAGGAATGTACCTCAACATAATAAGGCTATATATGACAAGCATATAGCCAGTATCATACTAAATGGGGAAAACCTGAAAGCATTTCCTCTAAATTCAGGAACAAAAGGGTGTCCACTCTCTCTACTCCCATTCAATATAGATATGGAATTCCAAGCCAAAGAAATAAGACAGGAATAAGAAATAAAAGGAATACAAATTGGAAAGGAAGTAGTCAAACAATCCCTATTTGCAGATGACATGACATAGCTAAAGTACCCAAAAAACTCCACCAAAAACATCCTAGAAACCACAAATGGTTTCCACAAAGTAGCAGGATACAAAAGCAATTTACAAAAATCAGTAGCCTTTCTATACACCAACATTGAACAGACTGAGAAAGAATGTAGGAAAACAATTCCATTTACAATAGCCTCAAAAAAATAAAATACGTAGGAATGAACTTAATAAAGGATTGAATGACCTCTACACGGAAACCAGAAATCAAAGAAACTACAGAAGATAGAAAGATCTCCCATGCTCATGGGTCAGTAGAATCAACAAAGTGAAAATGGCTATACTACCAAAAGCAATCTATATGTTCAATGTAATTCTCATCAAAAGACCAGGGAATACATTGGAATTAATAGACACAGGTGATGACTTCCTACAAAGAACTCAAAAGATTCAGTGACTTCAAGAGAAAGGATTGACAAATGGGACTATATGAAATTAAAAAGCTTCTGCACAACAAAAGAAGTAGTCTCTAAATTGAAGAGGCTACCCACAGAATGGGAGAAAATCTTTGCCAGCTAAATGTATGACAAGAGATTGGTAGGTAACTAGAATATATGGGGAGATCAAAATCTATACTCCCCCAAAAATCAATAATCCAGTGAAGACATGGGCAAAAGAACTGAACAGAGCTTTCTCAAATGACTAAAAAACACATGAAGAAATGCTCAACATCCCCAGCCATAAAGAAAATGCAAATCAAAACCACATTAATATTCTACCTCACTCCTGTTAAAATGGCTACCATCAAGAACACAAACAACAAATGTTAGCAAGGATGTGGGGAAAAGGGAACACTCATAACATTTTTGATGGGAATGTAAATTAGTATAACCACTATAGAAAAACAGTATGGAGGCACCTCAGAAAACTAAAAATAGAACTGCCATATGATCGAGCTATTCTATTTGTAGTGCTATCCCCAAAGGAATCTAAGTCAGTTTACAATAAAGACACCTGCACACCCAAATTTACTATAGCATTATTCACAATATCTAAGCTTCAGAACAGCCAAAATGCTCCACTACTGATGATTGCGTTAAGAAAATGTGTATTTATATACATTGAAATTTTATTCAGTCACAAAAAAGAATGAAATATTGTCCTTTGCAGGTAAAAGGATGAAACTGGAGAAGATCATCTTAAGTGAAGTTAGCCAGGTTCAGAAGGCCAAAAGTCACTTGTTTTCTCTCATATGTGGACTACAGACCTAATACAAATACAGAAATTCTATGAAAAACAGGTCATGCTAAGGGAGGTCACATATGAGAGGGTAAGGGTAGAAGAAGGAAGTTAAGACAGTGAATATGGTTGATGTACTATCTATACAAGAATGAATATAGAACTTTTAAACCGATTGAAATTATCATAAGAAAGAGACTAAGGTAGAAAGAAGAAAAATAGAGGAGACGAACCAAATTGGGCTATAATACATAGAAGCATGGAAGTGCCACAAGGAAACTCCCTTTGTAGCTATCTTAAACAAACAAAAATGTCTTCATTTCTTCTTCTTCTTATACAAATGTGGAGAACAGGAGGGCAGAACAGGTCCTGCCTGGGTGGGTTTGGTACCAGTGGAAGGGGAAGGAGGTGGGGAAAGGGATGGGAGGATGAATATAGTGCAAGTACTATCTGCACATGTATGTAAGTGGAAAATGATATCTACTGAAACTATTCCAGGAATGGAGGGAGGGGTATGAACGATAATAGTGGAGAGGGTGCATTCAAGTATGGTACATTTGATATATTTTAAGAATTTTTGCACATGCCACAATGTACCCCCACCCACACAATAATAAAATAAAATAAAAATAAAAATTGTGAAATTTCCAGGTTAAGACCAAACTACTATATAGACTTATGTGGGTTTTGTTTTCATTTCTTTTGAAAAAGAAGGTAGAATTCATTCTTCTTCAAATTCCCTATGACAATTCTTAACAACCCCACTTGTCAGACTTTCTATTTGGAAAACAAAGCTGCATCTGTTTCTCTGATTTTTTTTTAGCCTGTTTTCCTATCTGCCTTCAATGGCAAGAGAAGAAAAATACTGTTGATTAATTTAATTCCTTACGTTCGCATTTATATTATTTCACATTCTTTTAGTATGTTTTCAAGACTGTTATTGATTTTCATCAGTGTCCTCTAGGTGCTATCAAATTTGCAACAATAGATTCATAGTTATAGAATTTGATTTTGAACACACAGGATACACCCAGAAATGTCATCAACTACCTCAGGTTTTTGACAACTCACTTATCTTCTTCAGATCTCCCTCTACTCAGCTATAAAATGGCAGCAATTTGAATAGAAGAATTCTAAAGTGCTATGTTATTATCTTTCATCTTTATATCAGATATCAGATAAAGATACTTATTAAAAAAAAAGAAAATTTGTAACACTGAAAAGATTCTATACTAAAAGGCAAACAATTAACATTTTATTATACCTCTCTGAGGATAACAGTCTATGTGATTATACCCAAGTCAGTGAAACTTTTTTATTGCCATATTGATAAACTAAAGAAAAAAATGGCTAACTAACAACAGAAGCAGAGGTTGGAGTCATACAGCTACAAGCCAAAGAGTGTTGGACAGCAAGGAACTGAAAGGAGCTGGAAAGAGGCAAGCAAGGATTCACTACTAATGCCTTCAGAGCAATCACGACCCCTATGACACTTCATTTTGGACAGTTCTCCAGAACTGTGAGAGATTAAGTTCCACCTACTATAGGACCCTTAGGAAACTAATAGAGGGAGTCCCATTTGTAAAAGAGACAGGTTGGCAAAGAAAAGGTTATTAAAAGAATTCCAAGAATTCTTAGTGAAAATAAAAGATGAACACCATATAATATTTGGGTTTTTTTGTTTTGTTTTGTTTGCAGTTTTGGGGTTTGAACTCAGGGCTTTGTGCTTGCAAGGCAGGCGCTACTGCTTGAACCATGTCTCCATCCTTTTTTGCTCTGGTTATTTTAGAGATAGGGTCTTGCTTTTTATCCAGGCTGGCCTGGACGACAATCCTATTTTAAGCTTCCCACCCTAGCTAGGATGACAAGCATGAACCACATACCCAGAGTTTTTTCCACTCAGATAGGTCTAGCCTAGACCATGATCCTCCCAGTATGACCCTTACACAGAGCTTGGAATGACAGATGCACATCACCACCAGCTATTGATTGAGGTGGAAGTCTTGCAAACTTTTGCCTTGGCTAGCCTCAAACCATGATCCTCCCAATCTCAATCCCCAAGGAGCTAGGATTACAGGCATGAGCCTCTATAATTGAAATTATGTGATGATTCTGAATTATATGGATAAACCACAGTCTACTTTATTAACTATCACTAACTTACTCTGAAAATAGGCAAGCATTTTGACTTTAGAACATATTAGCATCTTTTCCTATAAAAATGAGATTTAACATTAATATTCTGCCATACAAGAGTACAAAGAAAATTAATGACAATGTGCTGAGTTCGTATTACCAAGTGTTAAATACAGTAACTATACAAACATGGATGGATGGATGGATGGACAGATGGACGGAGATGGAAAACAAACACAGATAGATAACAGATACAGATACATGATGATAGAGACAGATGACAGATAAACAGAAAGACAATCAGCAGACAGACAGATAGACAAACAATGTTTTAGGGATAGGTAAGACGCAGAAAGGTACTGAAAACTGTAAAATTTCCTAACACAAAATCATAGCATCCTGTCTCTGCCCCACCTATATGACAAAACACAGTCAACCTCCAAAATCAAATTTCATCTGAATATTTAATCACTCAAATAATGAAAAGAAAAATAAATATAAAAGTGCATTCCTGTGACCTTCTTAAAAAATGTGAAAATTACTAATACAAAACAACAATCTGCCCAATTAGCATTCTCTTTAATTGGCAAAAACATTTAACCTCTTCAATAAGCTTTTATGTAGACAGAATGTTTCATATTACTATAATCATCCCTTAAAAATAAAAAAAAAAGGAAAGATCCAGCAAGTGAAACAAAGCTAACAGAATTACTGAGTTATATATACTTATAATCTTGAACTAGTGAAGATAAAATATAACAATAGACAATATCAATATTGACACTAAATCCTGACAATATACTTTAAACCAGTACTTTCAGCACTGGTTGCACATGAGAAATCTTACAAAATACTTAAATATAAATGCTGATGCCCACACCCACCTATAGACAGGGCTTTCCCTCATATTAGCACATGGACTTTGTTCTGCACCTACTCAGTGAGCAACATTCACATAACACAATGAAATCTGTAAGATGGAAACAAAAACAAAGCATTAAGGATTTTAAGTGAGGCATTAAGTGAGCATTAATTAATCATTTCTCAAATAAAAAGCACCATACTTCACCTCTGTGGGTAAAAAGAGTGATTCTATTGAGCAACCCCTGCCTACACAGCATTACAAGGATGCTTTGGACCTTGGGAGACTGCCTTCTCCTGTCTTCACTGCATAAGAGAATCTTATTATTTATTAATTATTTTATATTAAGTACAGTATTTTAGTTACATGTGTTTCAAACATTAAAAAATTACTTGGGGTTTACAATAGCATTACACTTATGCTTCAGTTTTTAAAAAATTTTATTTTTTACAGATACATAATACAATTTGTAGAACTACAAATGGAATGTCTGTAATTTGCTTCATTATATCTGGGGTGAGAAAGAGCTAGGCAGAGTTTAGATGAAATAACAATGGCCATTTATTTATAATTGTTAAAAGGTAAATAGGTTCATTATCTGTTCCCTCTTCTTTGTATGTGTTTACAATTTTCCATAAAGTGTTCAGTTGCTCAGATTAAAAACAGGAAATTCAGTGTGCCTATCATAAGCAAGTTATCTTGACCAGACTAGAGAATATACTAATAATGGATAGGACAATCCCAAAGAAAGGAACATATGGTCACACTTTTACCATATGAGTAAGAATTTTTTTTTTTGAAATATAATTGGTTAATCATTGAAATATTTCATTAACTGAGTCAAAGTATCAAGGGATGGCTGAAACAAAGGAAACCAAGAACTGGGTTTTATAACATGCCACACATAATATGGGTAAAATCATCAACCTAAAAAGTAGACATTCCAGGGACATTACCTTAGCTGGGAGACTACAATATGCCACTAGTAATCACTATTGCCTTAGTAAGAATCAGGTCACACTGATACCATTTCTATGACATAGATTGAAAAAAATAACCTTTTTAATGACGTAGAAGAAATATGGTAACAACTAAAATACAAAGGAAAAGAGGAAGAGATTGTTCTAAGGAATAGCTGAAAAGGCTCAAAAGGCTATAAAGGTCAGGCAATATAACCTAAAAAAAAAAAATGACATATAATATGTATGTAGTATCAGTAAATTGATATCATATCAAGTCAACAGGTAGACCCATTAATTATAGTAGTGCTTCCACTATCTTCTTGTCAAAAATTTTACACTTCCAAAAAGTTCCCTAAATTTTAACACTTTACTGGAAGTTCATGTCTAAAGATGTCAGTTTTCTCATTGCATTTTTATTCCCTATAGTTTTTCTGCCCATGAACTAGCAATAATAGTTTTGTACATATATCTACTACACCACAGAAAAAGAAGTCTCAGTATTTGTTTTACAGTTCCTATTTGTCATCTCACTCTCTGCTTGATGTCCTACAAACTAATTTTAACTCTATCTTCTGCCACTTGAAAAAGAATTCAAAAAATAAAAGTGAAAAACCACTAAAATAGCTACCTCTTCCACTACAACAAACAGGTATTTACACAACAAGCAAGAAGCATTTCTACCAAAATAAAGCATAATATTCATGCAAACATTTTAAAAAGTACTGAGTAGATACAATATGCAGGCAGGGCTCTGCAATGTGTATAAGAAAGAGGAACAGGAAAATACCATAGAATCTTGCAAAGCAAGTATTAAGTATTGGGCTGGGGCTATATCTCACTGGTAGGTCACATACACAAAGCCCAGGGTTCAATATCTACTACCAAACAAGAAAAACTATCAGTGCCACAAAATCAGTTACTATTTTTGTGTCTATTATCTTTA